TCTCTATTTTTTTAACCCCAACTCTGCAAACACTAAAGGGGAGCCCAGAATTCTTACACTCCCCTCCCCCTGGGTATCCAAGTCTGGATCCTTGCTCATGGTACTCTGTGTTTTGGTGGCCTTACCATCTTGCTTGTGGGTGGTAACTACAAAATCCTAATATCTGACATCTGAGCTGGGATGTTGAATCGGTGACCCTGATCTAGAAGCAGACCAAGAGTGAGAGTTCACTCTAACTTCAATTCCTTCCTTCCTCCCCCTCCCCCTTCTCTTTCTCCACTACTAATTTTCTTGCTTTTTTTTTTTTTTTTGTACATAGTCCCGTTCCCAGAAACTGGTGAGAATGAAGTTGAATGTTGGACCTGAAAGTATCAACGTGAACCCACAATTAGGATCTGGCTTCTGAGGTGTCGTAAGGAATTAATTGGTTAATGTTTGCAAAATGCCAAGACACTCTTAAATAAAAGGCTTAAGCAAATAAGTTCAAAGTATTTGTAATTATTATGATTATTACTAAAATTTATGAGACTTAGCCATAAATATTATAATAGGATGAGGTCAACACTTTTAAAAAGAGGAAGCAGGACAGGGACTGTATATAAAGCACAGTAGACTCACTGCTTCTAAGCACAAGAGCTAACTGAAGACAGGTGAGTATAAACAGGTGTGGAACTTGTGCCGGGCTAAGTTAGGGTAAAAAAAAGAATCTAGTATAGGGAGGTTGATTGATAATGATTGTGATTCTGCTGCTGAGAGGATTAGAAAGATTGGATCAAATGACACTTTTGGAACTTGCAAGAAAAAACAAGTTTTGAAACCTATATTTATGATAGGAAATTCTTTTTCCTATTCATTACAATACTTGCAAAAATTTAGATCTTTTTTTTCCCCCAGTACTGGTAACTAAATCCAGGGCCTCATGCATGCTAGGCAAGTGCTTCATCCCCAGACCTTTTTAATTTTAAAACAGGGTCTTGGGGCTGGGATGTGGCTCAAGCGGTAGCGCGCTCGCCTGGCATGCGTGCGGCCCGGGTTCGATCCTCAGCACCACATACAAACAAAGATGTTGTGTCCGCCAAATACTAAAAAATAAATATTAAAAAATTCTCTCTCTCTCTACCTCTATCTCTCTCACTCTCTCTTTAAAAAAAAAAAAAAAAAAAAAAAAGATTTTAAAACAGGGTCTTGCTAAGTTGCCCAGGCTGGCCTTGAACTTTTGATCATCCTGCCTCAGTCTCCCGAGTAGCTGGAATTACAGGTGTATGCCACCTCATCTGACTTAGATTTCTATTAATATATAGTTTCTTTTGGATTTGTGTGCATGTGCAAAACAAAGAATGGAAGAACAAAATCTTGTGTGCATTTAATAGTAGTAGTGTTAGATCCAATGGATGTCTTCTTTGTTAATGCAAAACCAGAGGATGAAGGTGTTTGTGTTTTGCAGGATGGTAAATCTCTTCCTTGCTCTTGTGCTTCAGTCTTGCCAATGTTAGGCTATCCCACATGCTGTAAGTGTCGGGTCTACAACAGAGTCTGCTTTTCTCTGAAAGCTGTGAAAAAACTAAGTCAACTTATCTAACAGCTTATGTCTTAGCTATTAGAGTAAAAAAGAGAGATAAGCTTCCAGAGTGTGTGCATGGAACACAGGTCAGGTCTCTTGATTTGATCTTTGTTCAGAAGGGGATATTCCTAGGCAAGCCCAACTCAAGGAGAAGAGTCTTCCTGGAGTTCTCAGCTCCAGGAACCCCAAATTCAGAGGGAAAAGTAGGCAGAGAGGTGCACAGTTTCCTCAGCAGGAAAAGGATTTGCTCACAGGGAAGCAAGTGAATGAACCAAACTTTCTTGAGTTTTTCTGGGATTATAACTCAAATTCAGCAAATACACATTTTTAGATCATGGAAAAGGCAATTAAAAAAAACAAGACAGTTTAAAATGAGCTGTCATGTCATGGCCTTAAATTTCATTCTAAAAGGTTAGTTTTTTTTTTTTCTTAAGAAAAACAATCACAGTGGCAGAAGCATTTTATATTCGTGACTGTCATTGGTACCATCATTTTAATTTGAGGACCGTTGGTGCAAAGCACTGTGCAAGACTGGGGTGTTGCTGTGGTGTGAGGAAGCGGGAGACGCAGGACAGCCAGAGAAGTGTGACTCAGACGGGAGGCCCCTGGAAAGGTCCATGGGCCCACATGGAGCATCAGTGGAGAGATGCTCCAGAAACTCACCAAGGGCCACAACGTAACTTGGTGGAGGAGGATGCCTAATGTGGATGCCTGGGGTGGTTCTCAGCTCTTCCAGGATCAGATGGGGCCATGCTGGGCAGGGCCACCTTCACCTCTCAGCATGTCAGGGTGCTAACAGAGCACATTTCCAAGCTGGTTGGAAGGCCCAAACCACCTGGGATGCTCTTATTCAAAGTTTAGGTAAAGATGGAGGACATTCATAGAAAAGGAATGGGGGTTCTGAGGTGAGAGAACTACAAGGACCAAAAGGCCATGTTTCCACCTTTTCTAGGGAAACAATTGAACTGCGGAAGAAATTATCCTTATCCCTTATAAATCTGAACAAGGCTTTGGGAATTACAAAGTGCCCAGTGGCATGGTGCACGCCTGTAGTCCCAGTGACTCTGCAAGCTGAGGCAGGAGGATCACAAGTTTGAGAACCAGCCTGGGTAACTTAGGGAGACCCTGTCTCAAAAAATAAATAAATAAAAGGACTGGAGATGTAGCTCAATGGTAGAGTGCCCTGGGTTCCATCCCCGGCAAGTGCCCCCCACCCCACACACACACAAAGTGCTCAGGGGAAAGAATACAGAAAAAGATATCTTGGCGAGGCAGCAGGAACTTGAACTAGACTCAGAGATTCTCCGGTTACCAGTTTACAGGGTGGCCTGTGGCTTCAGCTTGTCACACCACTTTGCTATTTGTAACCACTTTGCCATTATAGATATTGTTCTGGGCATTGAGATTCAGTATGTCTTAGCCTAACCTTTTTATGATGGCTTTGAGTGCAGTGAGCCATAGGGATATTAACATATTAGTCCCAGTGACCAATGGACACTCCTTGAGCACACCCTAGGGATGCCTCCACCATCCCTTCTAAACATAGAGTACTTTCTGGCCTATAAAGTTGAGCCACAGAGTTTGAGTTGCTTCAACCTGCTGTTTATGGATAGAACACTTTGTCCATCCATATGAGAAGCTCATTGTCACTTTTTGCTCTTCCCTGATATAATGGGGGAAAATTACTTTGAAGATCTGGTTTCAAAGGCAACCACAAAGTAACTCTATGTTACTAAGTACATGGCACAGGTATTTACTTAGATTCAACCAAGTGCTTGCTCAACATAGATATTTAATTCCATGCTTGGAAAATGGAGAAGCACTTATAAAAGCTAAGTCTTTCCACTTGGGTTTCCAAGAGCAAGTATATTTCTTTCTTGGAAAACAGAAAAAGAGTGAAATACTCCAGGTTTGGCATTTGAATGGGAGCAGTGCTTTTTTCTAGGTCCTTTCCATAAAGCTGGGAGTTGCCTCTGTCAAGACAGATTTTCATGAGACCCTGAGCGTTTTCTGGTCTCATGCTGTTCTTTCTCCATTCCTTTTTCCTGGAATTGATTGTCCTCTCTCATTCAGGGCTGGGGGCTCAGGGGTGCTAAAATAAATGATTCTCGTTGAGTTGTTAAATCCGAGAGTTCCTGCAGACCCAGTTAATATCTCAAGTTCCTGTACCTTTTTTGGGCAATTGTGCATGACGTTTTCTGTTTAACTAAGCAAAACCAGACAGACCATCACAAAGTCATAGGGAAGAAAAACAAAGTGTGGCCTCATCAGAGGGCCACTTGCTCCGTTAGTTTAAGAAGATGGAACTCAGATGAATTCCTTAATGCCTCTCCATCTGGAGATGGCACCTCTTAGGTATTTGGAAGAAACTGCCTGTAAGAATAACTTTAGAACAAAAGAGGGCTGGGGCTGTACTCAGTGAGAGAGAGAGAGAAAGTGCTATGTGCCAGGTTTATACTCAGGCTCCTACACATAATGATGGTAATAATTCAAAATGGCAAGTCACCAGGCTCTGCTGATGATGGAGATGGGGGAAGTGGAAGTTTTGGGGGCAGGGAGCTGGTTCCTCCAGCATTCCCTGGGGTCAACTGTTCTTGGTGGCTTTTATGCATTAGTTTGGTAGCTAGTAGGGGCAGGGGCTGTGGTAGTAACGGGCGGAATGGCTGGAATAAGAGAGAAAGCATGGGAACATGATCTCCATGGCAGCCAGTTGTCAGATGGCCTGTTGAGCAAGCCCCTCATGAGTGGATCCTAGGACCCCTGCCCATGACCCACTTTCCTGGGAACTTGTCTCTCCATTCTCTGCGGCTTCAGCCCAGGAGTTTTACAGAGGGATATTGGGGAACATGGTTCAAAGTGATCAAAGGCATCTGGATTCCCAGACTCGGGCTGAGGAGTTGGAATGCCCTCAGGCTCCTTCCTTCATCCTAAGACTCAGTAGCCATTCCAAGGCCCTGAAGAAGTGTGACCTTTCCTCCAACTGAGAGAAAAGAATCCAGATTCAGAGAAATGACCAATATGAACTTCTCCTTTTCACATTATAGTTTGATAATGAAGAGGCTCTTGGGATAAGACAGGTGCATCAAATATTTGCTTTTCTGAGTCTTGAACCCAGTTACCATGTTCTCGGTATTGAGAACCGAAGCATCTTGGCGTCTTAAAATAATTAGTATCCAGTGTCTGGATGCTATATTGAGTTCCTGTAGACCAAGCAGAAGTCTTCCCATTTTTTAAGCTAATTAAAGGATAGGTGGAGCATTTGTCCCACTCTTGATTTTTAACTGTGACCCAAATCATTAACTTTCCTTCTTTGGAGATGAGTGAACTTGTTCCATTCATCTTCCTCCCATAGAAGCATTACATGTTGTTGACAGCGATTGCTGTTTTCTCATCTCCAAGCTAATTTTGATTTCAGGAGCTGTAGAGCCAGACCCTTGACATGTCTGCATTGTGGCTGTTGCTGGGCCTCTTGGCCTTGACTGGTGAGTGTGTTTCATTTTTCCCAAATGACCTTGGAGGTGGGATGGAGAAACATAAGAAAATGATGCTACTTTCATACTTGAAATTGAGGTGGAAATTATTTTCTCCTAAGATGTCCAATAAATCCTGAAGTTAGGCACAGTCATTGACCAGCAGTCTCTCCCCTGAATGTTCCAGAATTTGGGATGGGCTATAAAGCAGATAGTTTACAACAGGATTAAAGTCTTGTAATTATACACCAAGTGTAAATATACACCTGCTCATTGTCTACTATAAAAACTGCTTCATCAATAGTATTTATTGAACTTGTTTATAGACCATATAGTTCCATAAAAAGATTGAGGTAGTTGCAATAGTAAGTCCGATATAATTCAAATAGAAAACTAGTACTAAAGGAATCAAGATGTGACCAAACTAGCAGCCACCGAGGCTGACAGTCACTTCAATTGAATTTTAGCTTTGACCTAAAGTTTCTTGCAGCTGGGATTTTTTTTTTTTAACAAGTGAAAGTATTTGTTTTTTAACAAGTTAAAGGAGTAAATGGTTCCTTAGGAAAAGCAAAACTTTTCCTGGTTCTAAATTGAAAAAATGTCTCTGATGGGGCCTTACATTAATTCAACAAATATTTTAAGAATTCCTACAAGGTGCCAAGCATTGGGAATGTAATGTGTTTAGGGAGAAATCTTCATGGCAGGCAGCATTGAGTGACAGACTAGAGCAATATTAAGGGTATTTGTCAATTTGTCACCTATCATAAAGATAAATGTGCACTGATTAAAAAGCTAAAAAGAACATATCGGCTTATTTAATTTTTAGTATACTCACAAAAGACAAGGTCTTTTCATTTCCACATTTCTTTCAGATAACTCATCCCCGGTCTCTAAGGTAGAAGTATTTACCCAAAATACTAGTATTTTCAGATGTCAATCTCATGAAGCTGTCAGTAAAGACAAAGAAATTAAAAATGCATTTATGTTAATATACAGAACACATAAGAGGTGCACAATAGACACACTGCACATACCTGAAAATCATTAAGATTTGGTGATATAATCTACTTTCATCAAAGAATAAAATACATTTTAAGAAATATGCTAGTGAGAGGTTCACATAGGATGCAAGGATGAGAATTTTCTCAAGGAGCAGTTTCCTATCCGCTGAAGGTATCTGGTTACTGGCTCCTGCACCCACCTCCTGCAGGGAATTGTAAATTTATAGTTGTTCCTCAGTATCTGCAGGGGAAGAAGGATGGATCCCAGGACACCAAAAATCCTCGGATGCCAATTCCATTATGTAGAGTGGCATAGTGTTTGCATAGAAACCACGTGCACCCTCTTGTCTACTTTAAATCGTCTCTAGATGATGGTACCTAATACAATGGAAATGCTATGTAAATAGCTGTTGTGATGTATTGTTTAGGGAGTAGTGAAAGGAACAGAAGGTTTGTACATTTTGGTACATTTTTTCCGTAAATATTTTTGATCTGCCATTGGTTGAATCCATGGATGCAGAGACCACAGATAAAGAGGGCTGATTACATATTAGAAATTCTCATCCACTAGCTACTCTCACAAATGGAGATGATAATGTGAGGCAATTAGAATCCTTGTACACTGTTGGTAGAAATGCTAAAGTGCATAAGGGCTAGAAAAAAGAATGGTGCTTCCCCAAAACTTTAAAAATGAAGTCACCATACAATCCATAAATTCCACTTCTGGGTATATACCAAAAAGAATTCAAAGCAAAGTACTAAAAAGATATTCGTACCCTACGTTCATAGCAGTCTTTTTAACAGTAGCTCAAATGGAAGCAACCCATGTGTCTAACAGATGCATGGGTAAGCAAATGTGGTATGTCCATACAATGGATTATTATTTAGCCTTAAAAAAGGAAGAAAATTTTGACATATGGTATAAAATGAATGAACTTTGAGGATATTGTGCTAAGTGAAATAAGCCAGACAGAAAAAGACAAATACTTGATGATTCCAGTTACATAACATAGGCAAATCATAGAGAGAGACAGTGGAATAGTGGTTGTGAGGAGCAGGTGGAAGCAGGGAATAGGGACTCAACTGTTTAATGGTAAGAGTTTCCATTTTACAAAATGAAAAAATTCAAGGAGATGGTTGGTGGCGATGGTTGTACATCATAACTATATTTAATATCACTGAATTATATACTTTAAAATGGTTAAGTGATAAATTCATGTCATATATATTTTACCATAATAAAAAATGATAAATTCAAAAGAACAAAACAAAAAAATACTCATTCACTCTTTCCCTGATGTGAAGAGAAGAAATGTCCTTCTCTTCAATGGTCCTTGAGAAATCTCAATAGTGTCCAAAACAACACCTTGCTTTCAGTGATGGCTACGATGGCAGTGGGAGGTAGAGAAAGAGAAGGAGCAGGAAGAGGAAACCCCACGCACAGCCCTGGTCCTCAGCCTCACCTGCGTGTGCCGCCTTTGCAACCTTAGGCCCCACCTAGAATGGACTGCAAGAAAGTGAAGCAGACCCCAGTCCCAGGCTGTGGACGTGCCCTGCCTTGGGTCTTGGTGGCAATTCCTGGGAGATGAGGCTTTATTCACGTTTCTCAAGACCAAGCATAAATATGCCACCAGGCTGACGAGTTAGGAGTGTTTGAGGGAGAAGTGCTGAGTTCAAAGAGGTGGTAAGAGAGGACCAGGGTACAGATAGTCTCTGATCTGCTTTTCCCAGGAATTCCTCATGTCTGCAGGAGAAGAGGTGAGAATTCAGCAGCAAAGCCGTGTCTGTGATAATTCCTTAGTATACTGTGAATTAAATTCCAAAAGATTTTCAACTGCAGAGTGAAGCTCTTGTTCTTATTGGTTTTATTATGACCTTTAAAAAAACTGGTTGCCATCCCATTCATAGGAGGATGATAAGAACTATTCTAGGTCAATGTCTTAGGTTCAACTTCTCTCCATCCATAGACTTATCTGAAAGCAGCAATTGGGGATGTTACGGAAACATCCGAACCCTGGACACTCCAGGAGCATCTTGTGGGGTTGGAAGACGTCATGGCCTGAACTACTGTGGTACGCATAACCTCTGGGTCCACTCTCATCCTTGCGATACCCTCGTGGCTCATTTCCCACAGCCCCATGCTAGGGAGTGGTGGAAAAAGCCCTGGGTCGGGAGGCCAAGGACTGTTAAAGTTCTGGCTCTGCTTTTTAAAATTTTTTTTCTCCCCCAGTATTGGCAATGGAACCCAGGGTGCTCTACAACTGAGCTACATTCCTAGCCCTTTTTACTTTTTATTTTGAGACAGGATCTTGTTAAGTTACCCCAGCTGGCTTCAAATTTGCAATCCCCCTGCCTCAGCCTCCTAAGTCTCTAGTATTACAGGTGAGAACCACCAAAAAATTTGTATTTGTTCTTACTAGTTATACATGATAGATGAATTTATTTTGACATATTTTACATACATTAGAATTACATTGGTCATGTAATCATACATGTACATAGGATAATAATGTCTGAATCATTCTACTGTCTTTCTTATTCCCTTTTCCCATCTCTTCCCTTCATTCCCCTTTGTCTAATCCAAGGTACTTCCATTTTTCCCTATCTCCACCCCTTATTATGACAGGCTCTGTGTCTTAAAGAAGTCACTTAACTTCTCTGAGCCTCTGTTGAGGGTCAAGATCACAGTCTTTGCTTTACAGGGTTGTAAACTCTGGTCCATATAATGGGATGAGAGTGCTTTTAAAATAAAAAAATTGCTAACAAGGTAAGGCTAGCTAGGTAAATTAGGATCAGTTTTCATTTTCTCCAGCATTTTGTTAAAGGTTTAAGCTTCAATGATTTGAAGCTAGGAATGGCCATGCACACCTGTAAACCCAGCTACTCAGGAAGCTGAGGTGGGAGGATCACAAGTTTGAGGCCAGCCTCAGCAACTTAGCAATTCTATCTCAAAGTAAGAAATAAAAAGGGGATGTAGCTCAGTGGTAGATTGCTTTTCTAGAATGCATGAGGCCCTTGGTTCAATCCCTAGAACCACACACACACACACACACACAAAAAAAAAAAACAAATTTACATAATTTCTTGGCGTCACTCAGGAGTGAAAAGATGAGCCATTGTGAGCAAACCTGTTGAAGACAACTCCCAGAACTCATTGAAGAGTTTAGGGGAATTTTTCCTTCACATCATAGGCCTGTTGGAAATGATGGACGGGCAGCACATTTTACTGTGTAACCCTGTCTGGCATGTTTAGGACAGGACCAATGGTTCTCATGTCCCCAGAATTGTCCTGGAGCATCAGATCAGCCCCTGAGTGCCTTGCTGGGGGTCACTGGTGGCCACAGAGGATGCCTGTCTTACAAAATGCATGAGACAGTGACTTAAGCTCACAAGAAGAGAGTCCTAATCTCAGGTCAGAGAGTGATCACTAGGGATGTAAGACCAACACTTGGGCTTCTCAGCCTCAAGCGCCACCCGATCCATGCAGCCTGCTTTCTCTCTCCCTGTTTCTTGAGACCCCATTTCAGTGTCAGACACACCAAGCTGCCCCCTTCCTTTGTGTGTGCTTTAGGAGTTCGTGCTTCTGAAAGGCTGGCCGAAATAGACATGCCCTATCTTGTGAGATATCAACCCATGATGCGAACCGTTGGCCAGAGGTACTGTGTGGATCCTGCAGTGATCGCTGGTGTCTTGTCCAGGCAGTCCCAAGGGGGCAACTTTCTGGTCAACGTGGGCAACACAGGCAACATGGGCAACATGGAAGATGGAGTCAGGGTGGTGCAGGTAACTCTCCATCAGTTAATGTCACCGGTGGCCATTCCACTTAGAGGCACAATTCCAAGGGCACCCCTCTATAGAATCCAGAAAGAACGGTGCTGCGTGTCTGTGAGGGCCACAGCTCTGCCCTGGGAGGCAGGAGCAGCACCTTCAGGCAGATTCTCTGCCATCTACAATTTCTTTTCAAAGTAAATAATTTGAGGCACCCTATTCTGGATTTCTAATAATGCATTAGTCCAGGAGAAAAATCACAGGTGGCATCTTTGCTACATTATTTTCTAGCTATATGAACTTGAATAAGCCTAAGCCTCAGTTTCCCCATCTATAAAATTCCATTTTGGGGGTGTTAGTTCTGGGGATCAAGCCCATGATGCTAAGCGAGCACTCCACCACAAAGCCTCATGCCTGGCCCTAAAATGCCATTCTTGTAGAATTACTATGAAGATTCAATGAAGTCATGTGTAAAAGTATCTGATATTGAGTAGATTCTTAACAAATATTAAATTCCTTTTCCCTGTCCTCTTTCTACATAATTCCTAGTTCTGAAGATGGAGTTTTATTTTTTCACTTATTCTGCCAGTGTCAGAGAGAGACTTCCAGGGAACATGTCCTATCTGCGCCCCACCCCCTGGATTAACCATCTTAGGAAATCGGTGGAGGCCAGGATGAGAGTGAGGCCTGCTTTTTCTTGTTGTATCTCAGACCATCGTTATTTTGAGAAACCCAAGAGTTGATGCAGTCATTTAAAAAATATTTTAGGAAAATTTACTGCTCAATGTTTAAATTGGTTTCCATGAGTCCTTGGAATGAAATTACAAACTTCATCTCAAGGTGAAGTATTTGAAAGTACTTTTGAAGAACTGAATGGGGACCCATCCTGTAATCCTTAACACAGACCATATAGATGATCCTTGAGGACATTGTACTAAGTGAAATAAGCCAGTCACAGAAAGACAAATTCCACATAATCCCACTTCCATGAGAAGTGGTGCATGCGATCCATCCTTAACAAGTGAGGAAATGGACTCTCTCGGGGGAGTTTGTACTGCAAAATCACACTGGAAAACGCCCCAGTGGGACCAAGGATGTCTCAAGATGTTGGGGATGGCCTCGTTTCCACTGCCCTTCTTGACTCTTTTGTAAAATATGGTTCTTGGGAAAAGGGCAAATTTATATCCTTTGAAGAGAAAGTAAGAATCCCCCAAATTGGGACATTTCTCCTAAATATGGTGAATCCTATGTGGAGGAGGGAACCAAAGGTGTACAGGAAAGGTTAGAAGTACCTTTAGATGTTCTGGTCGTCTGCAAGGAGAACTGCAACACAGCAGAAAGCCCTTCCTGGCTTGTTTGGAGGTTTGCATGTCAACTGCAGGAGTACACCACACTGCTTCTTCCACAACCAGCCATCTCTGGCTTCCCACTGGCCCTGTCACCATGGCACTGAAGCGATGGTGAAGTGACTGCCTGTCCCTCCCTTAGTCCAAACCCTGCAGCTTGATTGATTGATTGATTGATTGGTATGAATATTTATCATGAGATCTATCTACTTAATAGCTCTTACTTAAAATACCCAACAATTCAATTATAATATTGATGATTATATGCACAGTGCTATATGTCAGATTTCTAGAAAAAATTTTACTGCACAAGTAAAATTTCATAGACATTAACTAGCAACTCAATTCCCCACCTCCCTTTGCCCTACCACCTGGTCACCACTGTTCTGTTCTTTGTGTCTGTGAATTTGACTACTTTAGATACTTCATGGAAGTGGAATTATGTGGAATTTGTCTTTCTGTGACTGGCTTATTTCACTTAGTATAAGGTCCTCAAGGATCATCTATATAGTCTGTGTTAAGGATTGTTTTGCTTTTCAAGGTTGAACCACATTACATATAACACATATACAACATTTTCTCTATCTATTCATCCGTCAAGGACATTTCGGTTGGTTCTACCTCTTGGCTATTGTGGGGAACTCTGCTATGAACATGGGAGTACTGATATCTCTTTGAGATTCTGTTTTCAATTCTTTTTGAAAAATACCCACAAGTGGAATTGCTAGATCATATTGCACTTCTAGTTTTATTTACTTATTTATTTGTTGAAGAATCTCCATACTGTTTTCCATGGTTGGTCGCACCATTTTGCATTCCCATCAGAAGTGCACAAAGATTCCAGTTTCTCCACATCCTCAGCAACAGTTGTCTTTTGAGTTTCTGACAGTAGCCATCCTAGTAAGTCTGAGTTGCTCTGCTATCTAATCCCCCAGGGAGCTGGAAGGTGGTTTTGGTTCCCCGCAGGTGTTTCAATCGGCTTTTGCGTTACTGTGACCAATATAACTGACAAGAACAACTGAGAGGAGGAAAAGGTTGTTTGGTTCATGGTTTCAGAGATGCGATCCATGGCCCGCCAATTCCATAGCTCTTGGCCCAAGGTGAGACAGAACATGATGGTGGAAGGGTGTGCAGAGAAAGCAGCTCAGGACAAAACAGCCAGAAGGGGGAGAGAGAGAGAGAGAGAGAGAGAGAGAGAGAGAGAGAGAGAGAGAGAGAGAGAGAGAGAGAGAGAGAGAGATAGTTAGTTCTGCTCTCTAGCAGCAAAATATAAGCCCCAAAGCCAACTAGTGACCTACCTCTTCCAGCCTGTCATCACCACCCAGTGAAGTAGTCCTTTCAAATTATTAATCCACCATGATTAGGTTACAGGGGCTGTAACCTCAGTCACAGAAAGACACATTTAAACCATAACAACAGATGGAACAAGAAAGATAGAAGGGAGAAGAAAGAGCAGCACTGAGCATGTGTCACTGTCACCCTCCCACCTGGCTTACTTTGTCTTTCCTCTGCCCCCCTCCCTCTAGGACCCAAATCTTTATGCTCCCTCATCCTGGATCACTGAATCCCAGGTTTCCCAGATAACTGGGGTTCTGACTTCTAGAATCAAAGAAATCCAGAGGCGATTTCCTACCTGGACCCCCGACCAGTACCTGAGAGGTATGTATATTCCACCATCGGTCAGTCACTTCACAGCATGGAATCTATAGGGACAGATGTGACATCACACCAGATTCCCCTAAACCACAGTTGCTACTGAGAGGCAGTGAGGAAAGATAATGAAAGTTTTCTATTGGGTATCCAGAAATAATGAGGGACTGTTGGGGCAGGATTAACTTATCACATGAATTTCAGGTGGACTCTGTGCCTACAGTGGGGGCCCTGGCTTTGTCAGAAGCAGCCAGGACCTGGGCTGTGACTTCTGCAATGATGTCCTTGCACGAGCCAAGTACCTCAAGAGACATGGCTTTTAGAACTTCAGGTGAAACCCAAGTTTATTATCATCCATGAGATCTCCACTATTATGCAAATAATGTCATCCAATGGGGTTTGCAACTGCAATTCTGAGCTTGACCAAAAGATCATCAAAATTGCATGAACCACATTAAATGAAGAGTTGTTACCTGCATTTTGTCATCTGGTGAATGTGTGGGTGTGTGGTAAATAATGGGCCCTGTCTCTTTAGCACTATTTCCACAGATGTTAGCGCTCCTGTGGATCTCTGTGAAATGAATCTTATACCTCATATGATATCACTGCCAAGTTAAGCAAATACAAGCATGGAAAACTCAGTTTAAGTGTGAATTCCATATTATTGTTTATAATGTTTTTGGATGCTGGGTGTTGAACCCAGGGCCTCATCTTTGCTAAGCAAACCTCTACCACTGAGTTACACCCTCAGACCCAACAATAAATGTTTTAGCGTAAGTTCCATGTAATATGTGGAACATATTGACACTAAAAATTATTTATTATTTATCTGAAATTCAAACTTAACTGGACTTCCTGTATTTTATCTGGCAGACCAACTGACTTTTTGGATAAAAATCAGATTCAAATTTAACTGAAAACTTTTAATGAGCAGAAAGGCATATGAAAGGTGAAATAGTTTTGAGAAAGTCACTTGCAAACTTTGCATTGTCATCCTAACCCTGGGATGTCTCACATCTAAGGTCACCTTCTCCTCTCCTTTGCTGGACAACAAAACCTCCTACACCCCAGCTCCCCAGCTTCCCACCCAGAGTATCCATATCTTAGCTAAAGTCTTCCCTTTGGGGGGTCACTTCAATCACCAATAGAGCCAGGCCACTGGAGGTAGTATCACTGTGCACTTGGTAAATTACTGAATCTGAGGGTTGTATGCTATACAAGGAATTGATGTCCCATTCTGTCAACTGACCAATATCAGCCCTTTACAGAGTGGCATTCTAGAGCAGCTCTCATCACTTCATCTTCGATCTGTCCCTAAATAATTTTTTTGAAGCAACTCCTATGTGTCCAGTACCCCATGAAGATACAAGAGTCTCTGTCCATAGAACTATCAAATCAGAGAATGCTTGGAGACAGCAGTCCACTCAGAAGAGGAGAGACAACCACTCTGTGCTCAAGGGATGGGGCAGGGCATGCACCTGATAGTGTCAGTACCCACATTCTGTGTCAGCCACTCCCACCCCATGACCATGGATGCCCTTGACCTCCCCTGGGGCCACTTCCTTCTTGGACTCCCCACCCTCTGCCTTCCAAGTCCTACTCTCAAGGCTGAATGCAGTTAATGGATTCCCACCAAGAAAAGGATGGAGAAGATTTCACAAAAGCATCTCCTTTGCAGATGTACAGATCACAGGCAAAAGGAAAATAGAATGTGAGGCCCTAGTGCAAGCCCACAGGGAAACAGTGAGGTGAATAAAGTCCTGAGATCACAGCACTAAGGTGACCTCCTGCTGCTCTCACCATGGACACAGGTACCCAGTAAGTGGGAGTCACTCCTGTTCCTGCAGGTGGTGTTTCTCATCCCAAGAAAGGAAGGCCACCCAGGAGCACCATGATGTCACAACAGGAGCTCTGGGGAGGTGCTGCACAGCTAGGGGTTAGTAAGAGAACAAGGGTATTAATTAGTCAGCAATTAGCTACTATTGAACTTCTACTTGCCGGGAACTGTAAACTCAAGATGAAAAGGTACAGTCCTTGTTCCCAAACGCTCCTTTTCTAGCTGGTATATGGATAATTAGCTCAGGACACAATTAGCTCATTTCTCTAAAAATGAAATAAATAAAAATCTGCAGGCAAGAGGCAAGACCATTTATGAGGTACTGAACTCACATTAATGTTGACCAGATGGGCATTTTTATTCGATTGAACAGATAAGAGAAGTGCTGATCAGACCAGAGCTGTTGATCGACAGGAACTTGATAGGACCGTAATCCAAACCCAGATCTGTTCCATTTTAAAGCCTATCCTTTTAGGTTTCATTTTCCCCTGAGTGGCACATATACATATTTAGATGACTGGAACACGTAAGTACGTGTATGTGTTTGGTGAGGTATCAGGGTGACCATCGTCCTGGTATGCCTGTGTCAAAATTACACTCTAGCTCAAAGCTCTCAATGGATTTTATTTCCCATTCTAGAAGCAGATTAATAGTTGTGAAACTGAAACACTCAAGACAGGGATCTGTGAAATAGAAGGGTTTATTGAGCCATTACAGATGTTAACCAGAAAGGACCAGGTTCTGGGTCCACACCTGCCAGCAGCAGAACCAGATACATTTGGAAAAATATCAGCAGGCCCAAAGCCAAGTGCATTTTTATACAAAAAACTGGGGGAAGGAGCCCAGTGTGGTGGCCCATGCCTGTAATGCCAGTGGCTCAGGAGGCTGAGGCAGGAAGATCGAAAGTTCAAGGCCAGCCTCAGCAACTTAGGGAGACCCTAAGCATCTTAGCAAGACCCTGTCTCAAAATAAATAAATAAATAAATAAATAAATATATATAAAAGGGCTGGGGATGTGGCTCAGTGATAAAGCAACCCTGGGTTCCATCCCTGGTACCAAAAAAGAAAAAAAAAAAAAAGATTGGGGGAAGGGAAAGCATAAATCGTTTACACTGAACCTGAGACAGGTGGGAACCACCAGGGTTGAACAAAAGGCAAGGACAATGAAAGACACCCCTGGGCTCCATAAGCCACGATCCTTTGTAGTAGGGCGTGCTGCTTCTTTACCCTTGTGCTATTTGCAGCAAGACCCATCTTGGGACCTGAGAAAGCCAGAAGCAGAATGTTTGCATAAAATGAAATTGTTACGGGGGAGGGGAAGCTAAGTCAAATAAACCCTCTAGCTTCACTCATGTGTAGTCAACTTAAAAATCACTCATTTGGGAGGTCTCACGGCTGCGCAATACTTGTGCGTTTCCCTAAGTAGTTTTGCTGCAAATAACACCTCTGATGCGTGGGTTATGATGACATGGTTGCTCAGGTTACTTTTCAGGGACTTGAAGGCCATTGCTACCAAACACACCGCTGTGCATTGGGGCCTGCAGATATCTGATGGGGACTAGAATATGATCTCTGTCTTCATCTTATGTCTGTTCCCTTTGCTACCTTAACTCTTGGGTCAGATTCTACTCGGCCCAGCATGCAGGCATGTTGATTGCCCCTTGGAGTTAGCATGTGCTTTCTTCTACCCCGCCCTGTGTTTTTTCAGCAGCTAAAGCAGCCCAAGCACCAAAGTCCTTCAGCCCTATTGTATGTAGGTTCCAGTTTAAGCCACAAGGCCAGGATTTTTTTTTTTCTTTCTGGTACTGGGAATTGAACCAGGGATGCTTAACCACTAAGCCACACCCCAGGCCCTTCTATTTTTTATTTTGAGACAGGATCTCATGAAGTTGCTGAGGCTGACTTTGAACTCCAAAGAAAAACAGCCATGAACCACTGAAATGTGGAAGGTGCCCATGGACCATGGGAATGCAAAACAAGCAAAGTGAGGGATCCTTGTCTGCAAAACACAAAGAGATGGGGGGCAATGCCAAGGGCAGGGAGGACAGGCCAAGATTAGGTGAGTCCACCTGACTCTAGCTACTGGCTCTCTGTAAACATTTACAGCCAGACCACGGGGTTGCTACTTCTCCCACATTCTCCCTTGAATGTGTCTCTGCTTTCCTCAATAAATCTGTCTGTGCTCTAATTGACATGCCCTTAAATTCACTTATGTGATGCTCATCAAGAACCCCACTAGTCCTGATTTGAGTTCCCCTCTCCAGGATCTCTAGGGACCTCCTCCAGGGACAGTCTTGAGTAACCTTCTACCAATATTCTTCAACTTAATATTCTTAAATTACACCACAATGTAATGTAACGTAAGAACTTAGAGGAGAAAAATGTTATTTGGAGCTCATGGTTTCAGAGATCTCAGACCATGGACAGGCTGGGTCCATTGCTCTGGGCCCACAGTGAGGCAGAACACCATGGTGGAAGGGCAACATGGAGGAGCACTGCTTCACTCATGGCAGGCAGGAAGCAGAGAGAGAAAGGGGAAGGGACCGCAGGAAAGACGCACCCATCCAGGGCTCACAACCAGTGACCATGGCTCCAGCCATGCCCCACCTGCCCAGTTAGTCCATTCAAATTAGGATGGACTGATTAGGTTACAATCCAATCACTTCACCTCCAAACATTCCTGTATTAACTCAGGAGCTTCTGGGGAACACTTCATATCCAAACCATAACAGGGGTCTAACCAGAAAAGAGATGTCCTATCGATTGGGTAGGAGGGCATGTTCACCTTTCTCTTATTGGTCCTGAATTGGAAGCAGCTGGGAACATTAGGGCAGCTATCAGTTACTAATCTATTCCCAGCTGTTTAGGACCAGTTGTGAGAGGGGTTATTATTTTCTTCCCAGACCTGTTACTAGAGATATCACTGGTCTGAACCTGTTTTACTGACAGCCTGTTATCCTGTCAGCTCTGTTTGCTTACAGGTGGTGATTGCTTGGGACAGTTGAGGAGGAATGCTGATAATTACATGCTTCCAACTGTCAGCACTGAGTTATCACCTGCCTAGAGGAACCCCAGACTGGCTTGATCTGGTTTGGGGGCTATGTTGACATTACAGATGATCTTGGACTCTTTATAATGCTACAAACACATCTACCAAAACTGTGGTATTGACTTGATTATGCCCAAATTAGCGAAGAAAAGAGGTGGCACCCTGACTCCTGGGAATCTCCTTTCTCCATGAAGTACCCTGATGATAGCATGCATGCCACAAGCCCTCATAACCCAGTCCTCATCGAAATCCCAAACCCAGTCCTGTTCAGGAAGACGCCTTCAGAACACAAGTTCCCCTTCTCCACGGGATAAGTTCCCTGCCTGCTCTCAGAACTGTTTGGTCATGGAGAGCAGTATCAAGCAGGAAAAGAACCTACTGGGTAATAGAGAGGGATGGTCTGACTTCTTATGAGTCTAGCTTATACAGAGCAGGCTGGCTCTGTTGCTTAAATGATGGGCTGTGTCCTAGGCTGGTTGCTTCAAATTGTGGGTC